CACTCTGGTTCACCATTGTCAGTCAGCAACAAGTAGTGTAAAGAAGGAGAATACCGCTGGGTTGGTTTAGGAATTCTGGAGGAGCGTCTCAGTTCTGGTGTGCCTGGTTCTTCTTGAACTGCTTCAGGATTGATCTGAACATCATTTCCAGAAATCTCCTCGAACTCAGCAAATTCCTTTGTTTCAGCTTCGGTATTACTTGATTCTGCGGTTGATCTATCTTTGTACATCACATTTTCATTGAAAATGACGTCTCTGCTTCTGATGATCTTCTGATTTTCATAGTCCCAAAACCGGTAACCGAACTCATCACCGCCATAACCAACAAAGGCACATTTGTTGGACTTAGCATCAAGCTTACTTCTTTCAGCAGAGTCTATGTGTACATAAGAAATACAACCAAACACTCTTAAGTGTGAAAGGTTTATTTCTTTCTTGCTCCAAACTTCCTCTGGTATTCTGCCATCCAAAGGAACTGAGGGCCCACAGTTGATCAAGTAAGCTGCAGTGTTGATTGCTTCAGCCCATAGAAATTTGGGCAAGCCGGCATGTATCCTCATACTTCTGGCACGTTCATTCAGAGTTCTGTTCATGCGCTCTGCTACACCATTATGTTGCGGTGTCTTGGGAACTGTTGTCTCCATCTTGATCCCATTGTTTGCACAGAAATCTCTGAATCTACTGTCTCTGTACTCTCCTCCATTGTCAGACCTCAACCGCTTGACTTTCAAACCAGTCTCATTTTCCACCATGGCCTTCCATTTTCTGAAGATATCGAAGACTTCTGATTTCTTCTTCAGAAAATAAACCCACACCTTCCTTGTTGAATCATCGATGAAGGTGACATAATATAGTGAGCATGCAAGAGATGGAACTGGGGATGGTCCCCATACATCAGTATGAACCAATTCTAACCTTTCTGCCTTGGGTGTCTTGCCAATCTTTGCAAAACTGACTTTCTTTTGTTTGCCAAAGATGCAATCCTCGCATAGTCCGACATCTACATTTTTTAGATCCGGCAGCTTCCCTTTTGACAAAAGTGTCTTCATCCCTTTCTCGCTCATATGGCCAAGCCTTTGGTGCCATAGGTTTGATTTTCCATCAGCATCTGCTACTGCAATGATATTCTCTAAATTTGAGGTTACATAGAGAGTACCAGTCTTCTTACCACGAGCAATGACGAGTGCTCCTTTGGTAATCTTCCATTCACAGCCTGAAAAGGTTGTGCTATATCCTTCTCCATCAAGTTGTCCAACAGAAATCAGATTTCTTTTGAGGCCAGGAATATGTCTCACTCCTGTCAGCTTCCAGGTGGTCTGGTTTGGCAACTTTAGTCGGATGTCTCCTTTTCCGACGATCTTTAAGGTTTCATCATCAGCAAGATGAACCTTCCCAAAATCACCACTGACATAGTTCTCCATGATTTCTTGGCATGGGGTGGAGTGGAAAGATGCCCCTGAATCCAAGATCCATGATTCAATTGGACTGCTGACGCTTAGAATCATGGCATCACCTGTCTCCTCTGTCACGTTGGCAGATTCCTGTGCATCGGTATCTTTCTTCAGTGCTCGGCAATCTCTTTTAAAGTGACCTTTCTTGCCACAATTATAACAGGTAAAATCTTTCTTTCCCGTTCTAGATTTTTCCCGTCTGGATTTTGATCTGCCACGATTTGAATATCTTTCTGAAGTTCTTCCTCTAGACTCCGTGTGCAAGGCTGAGGAGGTTGATGCTTCACCCGATTCTCTCCGTCGAATTTCTTCACTCAGTACCAGATCCCGAACATCGTCGAATTTTAATTTGCTGTTTCCCGACGAACTGCTGACTGCTGTAACAGTAGCATTCCAACTGTCTGGTAGAGATGATAAGAGAATTAAAGCTCGAACTTCATCATCGAACTCAATTTCCACTGAACTCAACTGGGTTGTGATTGTGTTGAGTTCATTTAGGTGTTGTGCCACCGATGCCCCTTCCGTCATCCGCAAATTGAATAATCGCCTCATCAAATGAACTTTGTTTGAGGCCGATGGTTTCTCATACATACTGGAGAGAGCCGCCATAAGACCCGCCGTGGTCTTTTCCTTTGCTATGTTGAAAGCAACATTTCGGGATAACGTCAGTCGGATAACTCCGAGGGCTTGTCTGTCGAGAAGAGCCCAATCTTCATCCTTCATGCCCTCTGGTTGCTTTCCTGTGAGAGGTTGATATAGATTTTTCTGGTACAAAAAATCTTCAATCTGCATCTTCCAAAAGCCAAAGTCCGCACCATCGAACTTTTCAATTTTCACCTTCCCTTCGTCTGCAGCCATCGCTCCCACTCGAATCTGGCTTCGTTTGGATCGTTTCTGACAATTCTTGCGAATCACCGTGTATTAGAACACCACCGTCGACAAACTCGTATCGCCGACCGAATTTCACTATTCACGAAATTCACTATTCACGTGAATAGTAATGAATAGTAACCTCGCAGAAAATTTGACAAAATTCACAACCAAAAGCTCTGATTACCAGTTGTTAAGAAAATAAACCGAGTACAAGTAATTTCCCTATAACCAGATTAGTGAGAATGCGAAATAAAAGCGGAAATATAATACCCGAAAATTGATAACGGAGTTCAGCCAATTGTGCTTACGTCTCCGGGCTGCTGCAGATCTTTTACTAAGAGAGAAAATTTACAGGTGTTTACAAAACACTCACTACTCACAAGAAAGCTCTCTAGTATAGGAAGAAAGAAATGTTTTAGGATGATTTTGAAGCTAAATGGGTAAGGGTATTTATAGTAGAAACTTAGGGACTAATCTTTGAAAATACCCTAAAGTGCAATGGCTAAAGTGAATTTACCCATTCCTATTTTCAACAAACATCTACCAAAATTTTACCAAACTTTGAAAAACATTTTTCAAAGAAACATTTACCAAACTTTGAAAAAACATTTTCCAAAGTTGGTTGCCAAACTTTGAAACTTTTAACAGCATTCACCCTCACACTTTGGTCTACCTTGTTCATGTGGATTCTGGCTTAACTATTTGCTGCCCAAATACCAAAAACCAAAACCAAAAGAAAAAAGAGTCAACTTCCCTAAATGGGAGAGATATTGTAGCTTCGAGTTTGTCAAGGTCATATATAGGATATTGGAAGTTCAAATGTTAACTAAATTTGATCTAGCTTGAACAATTTATTTTCAATGATAAGTTATGCTTTTCTTGTAACGAGGTTTATGATTAGGGATGGATCGAGGAGGTTGATGAAATGACATGTTCTACCACACGAGAGCGACCATTTGACTTTTCTATACTATTGATCGGAACCTTCTACCCTAAAAATAACCACTGTCTTAGTCAAGGGAGCAACCGTTCTAGAGTGCGCCAAATAACGATGGAAACCATATACAATTTAGCCTCTAACTCCATCCCCGGAAAGAAACCATTCAAACTCTCAAAGCATATGCATCTGAAAGGACTATGATTGAGATATGAAAGCTTATCCATAAGCTCAAATTCTGGTATAGCCAGATAACCAACAGTTTCATTCATTCGTTCATTATAACATTGACCTTAAACAACAACAATTCACTTGGAGTCTTCAAAATGCCACTAATATATAACTCATCATCACCTCAGATCAAACAAGAACCTAAACCCATAAATGTAGTAAAAATGCAGTCATATGCAAGTGTGAAAGAATCACAAGCTTACCTAAAAAACTCAAAGAATCCTCGAACCTTACATCCCAATCTATCACCTTGAAACAGGCTTTTGCAACACAGCAGTCAAGTAAACTTCCCCATCCTTCAAATCAAACCACTCGAATCAGTCTTATTAGCCACTGCCCACTTTACTATCTTATACTAACAATATCCGCAGATTCATTTTCAACAAGCTGGAAATTTCATTTTATTTTATCTTATTATTAGTTAGAGATGCATCAGCGTCAGCAACATGTTCAGATCATTCTCGTATGAAACTCCAGTACTATCGGAGTTGTTGGTATTGTTGTTGTGGCCGTTATCAATTACTGCAGGTGTACTTTTATGTGATTCGTTAGAATTAATTCCTGAAATCTTGTCTTCTCCGACGTGCAGTGCGTGCATCGCCGAAACCCTCCTTCCAGCGATAGAGATGTTTGACGTTGGACTTCCCTTTTTGTCTTCGAGATTACTGGCGGTGCTCTCGAACGATTGATCCAAGCTTTACTTGAAAAAGATGAGTGGTCATTTCTAAGGTTAAAGAGTTCCAATCAATAATATAGGAGAATCAAATGGCCGGTCCAGCGTTGCAAAAACATGTTATGTCAACTAGATTAACGTGTCATATCGATATTTCGTCACCTGATAACATACGACTAAATCTTTAACTTTGAAACATTAATAGAAAAGAAAAAAAAATTAGTCAAATATTAATGATCACTCATTTAATGTACCTTATTATGTATAATATAAGTTTTCTAATATCTTTTTTTATAAATAATTAACAATTTATTATTTTATAGTTTTGTAATATTTTTTATCTTTATATAGTAATTTTATAATTTTATTTTTACTATTTTTTATATTTATAAAAAATTATATTAATCCTCAAACTTTCTAAAAAATAAATTTTCTCCTTAAACTCGACTAAAAAAATTAATTTAAAACATTTATCACATTATAATCTAATATAGACTGTTGCGTTAGTACTATTGACTGCCACATTAATATCATAGACTATCATATTAGCATCGTAACAATCAACGTATGATTTAATAAATCAAATTATTTTTTTAATCTAAAGTTCACATGATTTTTTTAAATATCTCATTAATTTGTTTAGATAAATTTATCAAATACAAATATACTGTTAAGCCAATTGAAAAACACTTCTTTCAGTAAAAAATCTTCAAAACATATTAAAAGCCTAAAATATTTAAATCAGAAAAATTCAAAAAGAGCAGGCGATAGGCACGTGACCTCTCCGTTCTCTTCGCCGATATAATAAACAAATAAAAACCTTGGTGAATGGACCCTGGAGTCAGAAACAATTCCAAGTAAGCAATGGCGGAAGAAAATAACAAAAAAATCCACAGCAAAGCTGAAAATCCTTTAGGACCCAGAAATATTTTCTCAATCTTACCCAAAGTGGAGCTGAAATTCCCTTTCTTTAACCGACGACCGGAAAAACCAGATGTTTCGGTTAAGAAAGAGGAGGAAATTGAAATTGCGAAACCATTATCTTTATTTGTGGGAAACCGCCGGAAAATTCCTCCCCCGTTGGAATTCGAGGCGGAGGAGCGCCTTGGGAGAACTTCTAATCCTATAGTTCTCTGGCAGGTATACTTTTCTTCTTCTTGTTTCTGGGTATTTTAGGTAAATAAAGATGTAGTTAAAAGAAGCAAACTTTGGTTGGTTTTGTCAAATGTCATCTTTTTATTCAGAATAAATTGAGATTAGCATAATGTTATCTTATAGGTTTGCAACATTGATGTTGATCTTCCTTTTCTTTTTAGCAATCTTGGCTTATCTTGAGGTACAAATTATACTTCTGAAATTGATTTTCATCCTTTTTTCTTATATATAAATGCTTTTCGATTTTTCTTTTTTCATGCCATTTTTTGGCTGTTTTTATTTTCTTCTATCAGATCCTGCTGTGTCTTCCACCATTTTTCAGGGTTCTTTTCTTTTCTTACTTAGGGTTGCAAACCAAAAACTGCATAAAAGTAAATTGTTTGGCGGAAATTTGTAACCTTTGACAGTTCAATTTAAATTTAATGCTATTTGAACCCTAAATGAATATGCGGTATTGATTCTATACATAGATATGTTTTTATAAGCTATGTTGTTTGGACACGGATATAATTGTCGGAAATAGGGGTGTTTAATACAAGTATGTTCAATTTTCGTAAGTTTTTTCATGTATTTGGAGACTCTTCATATCCCTATTCCCAAGTTTGGAGACTCTTCAGACATGGGAAAAACATATTAAATAGGGTTAGGATCTATTTACAATGGGTAAAACTTTTAATCTCATATTAAGACCGTTGGATGAATGAAAATAAATGATGATTAATTCCATGTTTTTTTCTCCAAGTGAATAGATCCTCGTTTCCTACTGTTAATCTCAGCCATCTATTTTCACTCATCCAACAGTCCTAAATGTAAAACTAAAAGAGTTTTACACAATGTAATTGAATTCTATCCCTATTTAATAAGTCTGTGGTGACTAGCATAATAGTTGGCTTGTGCTTTCGTTGGCTCAAAGGAGGAATACTCCCCAAAATCCCATATTTTTGAGACTGCAAGTTACGTAAATTTTGTCCATTCGGGTTTAGTCGAAACCCCTATGGATCCTTCTGATGTTTGTTTTGGCAATGCATTTTTTTTGTTATCGATTATAGTAAATAAATTGCTGTCGAGAGCTTGAATACATTGTTTTTGTCTTCCATTCCCAACACCATTTTACTTGGTTAGGAGTTTCTCTTATCAAACAAGTTGATTTTGTCAGGTATATGCCATTGGTGGTATCTTTTTACTGAAATGGATTTGGGCAAGATGGAAAGAAAAGAAGGAGATGGGATCCAAGAAGGAATCACCTGATGAAGACGGACAGGCTGTCGATGACTCTCAATATGTATGATTCTCGAATTTTGTATAAGCGCACAGTTCACGTTTGGAACTTGAGGAGTTATACTAAAGCGAGATTTGTGTTCGTAATGCTTAGCTGCTGATTGTACTTGTTTACCATCATTCCTGATTTTCTATCTTTGGTAGGAAGAGAAAGAAGTTTGGGTATTGAGCATGTTCAAATGAATTTCAAACATATGATAAAATTCATGTTTGCATGGATGCCCATGCGATTGTCTTATCTACTATCGTCGGATTTTCGGTTTTCTTTCTTTCTTGGTTTTTTTCAGTCTTGAAATCCTTTGAAACGAACTCATCCAGGACTCTTGGGTCAACCACTCGATCTGGTTGCACGAACACAAATGAGATTAAACTTGTTCATCAAAATCATGACTCAACCACTCGATCTTTCTTTGTTATATATATGGGTTGGGATCCATTTACACATTGTAAAACTTTTTAGTTTTACATAGATTTAGGACCGTTGAATGAGTGAAAATAAATGACTGAGATTGATTCGTTTTTTTCTTCTAGTAAATATATTCTCATTTTCTACTGTTAATCTTAATCATATTTTTATTCATCTAACGATCATAAATTTGTGAAAGAATTTTACATTACATAGCAAGATCTTATATATATGGGATAAGATCATATTATGCTCTTTTAGTTTTATGTGGATTTAAAACTGTTGAACGAGTAAAAATAGATGAATGAGATTAACTCGTTTTTCTTTTTCCACTGAATATCTTCTCATTTCTTATATATATATATATATATATATATATATATATATATAAAATGTGAATTTCTCAAACTCTTTTAGTTTGATCAGTATTTAATTTGGTCTATAATACACAATTTTAAATGTTATTTTGGCCATGTTAGCTTTTAATTTTAGCAATTGGTCTCTTATGAAGGAAAAGAGGACAAGACTCTAGGGCTTATGAATTAAATCCCTCAACCCTAGATTAGCAGAATGATCGACATGTCGTTGTGTATGAAAATGACGAAAATATCATCGTAGACTAAAATATTCGTAATGCTCTCTTATAATAAAATGATTGAGTTTTCTTTAAATATGAAAGTAATTTGATAGCTACATGTGTATTTTATGTTAAATTATAGATTTAAAACATGATGTTAACTTTGTGAAGTTGATTCAAGGTCTTAGGACTCGAACGAGGTTAGAAGCTCTTTAAACTTGGACAAATTGTAAAGAGAGTATTGATACTCATTCTTGTGATATCGATAGTGTTCTATCATTATCGATACTCAAATCTTGTGTATTGAAATCAAAATAAGATGTTTGATTCTAAAGTGTTGATTTATATCAATATTATTCAAGAGTATCGATGGTCTAAGGAGAGTAATGATATCCCTAATTGGTTCTATACCTAAGATTAGATTAGATTTTTATTTTCTCTTAATTTGCAACCTTCGTCAATTATGAAGTATAACGAGTTTAATTTCTCTAAGTGGTGTGAATAAGTCCAATTTCATCTAGGTGTTTATCTAACACTCCTAACTAATGAGCGTGCTGCCCTTATTGATTCTAATAATGTTGAACAAAGGTTATCTATAATTATTGAGAAAGATTTAATAGACTGCACGTGATGTTTATGCGGATAACAATAGTAAACAACTCCAAGTTCACAATTCCCAAAATGGAAAATGCAAAGAAATATATGAAGACAAGCGATCCAGTTGATGTTGTTGATAAGTCATCTTGTGCATCATTAATTGTCTACCGTGAAGTTTGATGGTTTTTGTACAATGCATGAGCTTATCATTCAGCCAAATTGAAGGGTTTTTTGGTCTAAACTTGATACAATTGAGTATTCTATTAAATTTGGAAAAGGGCGTTTCAGGTTGTTCAAACATAATCATTTCATTTGTTTGGTATTTTGTCTGATGGTTTATACAAATTAAAACCTTTTTGTGGAAACTCTCTTGATCTTGCATCATAATATTGATATTAAACGTAGTTGCATCATTTCATAATATTGATGTATTAAGTCTATGTGATTACACGGTCACAGTATGAGCAACGTAATGCATGAAAAGGCTGCATATTGCAGAGCAGCAATTTATTTTATTGAAATTAGCAATCATTTATTTTGATTGTGAAATAATTGAAAATCACGTGAATACTCCATTTCAGCCACATATCGTAATAATTGCAGTAGCATATCCCTCTCACGTCTGAAAGTTTTTCTAAAACTTTAAAATATGATATTTTATTTAAAGTGTAAATCATACGGCATATTTACTTTTTACAATAAATTTATAGTAATATAATTTTAAATAAATTATTTAAACCTAGCCGCTTCTTCTCTAAAAAGCATAGCGCCTCCTGTTCTTTTTTTAATCTTTCGTTAATAAGCCATGGTGTCAGTTTTTGTGTTTATGGTTGCCGTTAATATTTCTTTATTTTTTATATTATATATTTATTTTTTTATTTTTTAGTTTTTAATAATTATATATTTATGGTATTTTTTATTTTAATACTTTTTTTTATCTTCATTATCGGTCATTTTGATCGTCGTTTTCGTTTATCTTTTTATTTTTAAGGATTGGATTTGACATTGTCTCGACAGATAAAAATAATATTTATTTGTTATCAAGTTGATTTTCCTTGATTTGGATCTTCAGATTGGATTTGGATTTGCGATATGTCGATGGTCTTTCAGCAGTTTTGATCCCTCTTATAGTTCATTTTTCGTTGCGATCAAATTTATTTGTATATATTTATAATAAAATATACAATAAAATATCCTAATTATGTGTTTAATTTATAGTCATGATTGTAAATATTCATTGTAATTCTAGATATTTTATCGTTTTAGTAAAATTAATGATTTCTTTATGAAAAACATATATAATTTTAAATAAATTTGATAAAATCTGAGTTTTAAATATTAATTAAGTTTTTTTGAACAAAATTAAATTTATATATTGGTAAATAATAATACTATTATTTTTATTTTTATTAATATTAAATATGAGTTGAATTTTTTTCCCATTCCGTGAAATATTTTTCATTCTTTTGTGGAGATATGAGTATGACTTAATGTAAACAATCACAAAGTAGAATAAATTGCAAGTATTGAAGCCGGGTTAGAAGCTGTTTTGCTCGTAAGGAGGTTGGTACTCAACTTATATTTCCATTTGATAGATGACTCAGCTTATTTGTCGACTAAAATTGTCATGCTTATTTCGTGTACAATCTTATTTATATTATTAATTAAAATTGTTAACATGGCCCCACTTCATAGAATAAACAAGTATACAAATGGTTTATGACTATATGATAATGTTTTGTTGAGTATCTCGATTATTAAAAGTTATAAAATAGTCTTTCGACTATAGGATGTTGTTTTGTTGAGTCCTTCGACTATTAAAAGTTACAAAATGGTCAATTAATTATTCAGTATGTTTCAAACTCGTTATTTTCCGTTAAAAAATTATGGTAGTCTGAGTTAGATGTCAACCTGTTGACTAATATATAATAAAATTTGATCTCATAATCTAAAAAAACTATCATATCTTAGTCAACAGGTTGACATCCAGCTCAGACTATTGTCAATTTTTTAACAGAAAATGACGAGTTTGGAACATATTAAATAGTCGGGAGGCAATTTTGTAACTTTTAATAGTCGGAGACTCAACAAAGCAACATCATATAGTCGGAGACTCATTTTATAACTTTTAATAGTCAAGAGACTCAACAAAACATTACCCTATAGTTAGGGACCATTTGTGTACTTTACCCATTAAACAATGGGGCCTTATTTCTAGAAAAGAAGTATTTATTTTTTTTAGAATTTTTAGATTCGAGTAACTACGTTTATATAGTGTGTGTATTTACTGTTAATTAATGGAAATTTTTTGAATAAATAATATATTGTAATAATCCTAAGTCTAATAATAATTTTTAAAACAAATTAAAAATATATATTTTTAATTAATAAAATAAACTATAAATCCTATTGAATAACCGAGTCCCTAAACTTTTTTATCATACATTTGTTAGAAAATATGGACTAACAAAGGGAAATCCAACCACTTTGCTTACCAAGTAGTCATACCATATTAAATAAGTCCAAACCGGTACACGTGTGTGATTATATAGTCTTCAAATCATCCTCCATGTAGTGTGAAAAAGATTTAAGCTATAACATCATCGATCCTCCATGGAATTACTAATGCTTGTGGTGGTGATCATTGCCACGGTGGTCTTATTTGTACTTTCCGGCATGTTCATTAAACTATTTGATGCTCTTGTTTTGACGCCCAAAAGGATTCGTTCCCAGCTCCGACTTCAAGCTACCGGCGAAAATGCTCCGCCATTATCGTCTTTGCCCGGAAACTTTCATCCCCCAAATAACACAAAATCCAAAGGAAAACAGGTGAAAATTAGTTCATCATCTCTACTTATTTTCTGAGTAACATACATATCTGCAACCACCATAAACACGATATGGTATCTGGATTTACGTATTTTTGTTAGGTGCAGAGCATGTGCCTGCACCGGGGGGAATACAGAATTTGCAGGGGAAGCATCCGGATATGGCCAGAAATGGGTACAATATCAGAGGAAAGATTATGATTAGGAGGTGGATGAAGTGGGTTTTGTTTTTCCATGGAGTCTGTATATATTCCAAGTTTCTGGAAAGAAGAAGATGGTGCTACTGTTGAAGCTTAAGTATCCGTTTAATTTTAGAAAATATTTTTATTTTTATTTTTAAGTTTTTGAAAATTAAAAAATATATATAGTTAATATAAAAGAAAACTTAAATTCAAAAATAAAATAGTAAAAATATATTTGGTATCTATTTTTTAAAAATCAAAATAAATAAATCGTTATTAAAAAATTAAATTAAATTATAATTATTAAAAAATTATTTTTTTAATAATAAGAGGTAGGTAGGAGCTAAACTAGATAAGACTAGTTTTTACAATATGAGGGCCCTTCTATGTCAAGGGTAAGGAGCTGGTGAACTAGACATCAAAATTTTTTTATTAGAC